GTACTTCTGGGAAGTGCCATCGAGACCCAATATCCCTCTGGCTTTGGGGACTCAGTAAGGAAGGACTCGGACACAGAAGAAAAAAGATGTAGGAGCCCATTAATCAAGCCGTCTTGCTCGTCTCTCCGCCATGGTGAGCCTCACAGAACACACGGGCACCCGCCGTGCAGAAAAAGTGCAGAACGCAAACACGATGATGTCATCGGGCCCGACAGTATGGAAAAAGTGCAGCAGTGAAACAGCTCCAGGTTTTTTTTAAAAAAAAGCTGCCCGTGTGTTTGCCGCTTTTTGAGATCAGTAAGCAAGCAGAGTGCAGGGTATTAGCAGCGTGTGTCCTGGGGGGCTGGGCCTTCAATGCACGCGGGGAGCAGACGGGTCCTTTGAAGGGGTGGTGGGCCCTTTGACAGGCTTGTTTAGGGGTGGGGGCTGGGTCTTGCATGCGTAATGAGCTCGGGGACAGACACTTCGCCATGGCTGCCCTGCCAGGCTGCAGATAAGCGTCAGGAATGACTTCCTGCCGTGGCCCCCACGTGGAGCTGAGCCCCCAGGCGGGAGCGATGCAGCCAGGTGCCAGGGGCGCAGATAAAACAAGGCCACTTTAGCGATTAGCATGGCTAGCTGGCGGAGGGAGCCTGAGAGCAGGAAGAAGGCGAACAGCAGCGACTGGAGCGTGGTGCTCTTCCCTGCCGCCAGGCAAGAGGAAACAGTCAAACGGAGAGGTGAAGCCCAAAACAGGGAACTTTTCTTTACATCTCATGCAGTCGTCTCAATTTACAAGCCAGCAAGCTGACATAAGCTTAGAGGATTGGATGTTTCGCCTTTAATGCCTCAAGTAGCGACGGAAAGAACTGAATTCGAAAAGGAGCTGAGTCAGCTGAGAGATGCAAGCGAACACACGGGCCTCTGAAGTTTATATTTAGTTGACAGGCCCAGACATGTTGCTGGACGTCTGTGGATGAGCCAGGCTAGGGGCTAGTGTTGCTATGGGTGTCAACAGAGCAGAGGATCAGAGGTGCCCACCAAGGGCAAGTCGTTGGCAGCCAATCAGTTCCTCATGATTCTTTAGGTATCCCAGCAGCCAATCAGTGGCTGAGAAATCCTGTGGACATCTGTGAAACAGATTGATATTGAAGGGAAACCTTTGACCTTTTGCAACAATCAGGCACTGGTGCAGTGCAGCCTGGAGCAATTAAAGCCAACATATTAAACTTAAAGGACCTGCACCTGCACAATGAATAAGTACAAATACATGTAGGCTTGCATATTATTCGGTTTGGTTTGGAGTGTGCGTTTGCAAAGCACTGTGAATTGACACCGTAAATCACTGCATGAGGACATCACAAACTCCATGCCTTAGAAAGAAATTAATGGTTTAGGGATAATTAAAAGATAGGGTAGTTAATTCCAGTGCAGGATAAGCGACTTCTGAGACCCTGATTTGCTCATATGCCTTCTGTGTTCAACAGGGCTCATATTCCGAGACTTTATGTAAGCAGTGAATTCTGTGGGCAAGTGGAGTCACCTATGATGGTCTAATTAGCCTGAGCACCCAGGACTTTGGGGATCATGCAGGCTTATGCAGACCCTCATTGTTTTCCTCTCAGCGTGAGTTTGCAGAGTCACCTAAGAAAACAAGGGACAGCAAACAGAGGTCCTAAGCAGCGACGACAGGGTGTTCGGTGAGAACCTACATCAGATGACACTCCATGTAAGTTTAGGATTAAATCTGCCACCAGGTGGCACTCTGGTAATCCGTTTCCTGTTCAGAGGGTCAGTCTTCAAGCTGCTGTTTGAGTGCGATCGTCTGAAAAAGTATGTGAAGCGTAATGCCCCCGACGGCACGCCTCGTCCAGGGGGCAGCTGCAGACTGCTTGGCCTTCCGTTCCCAGCATCCGCGAAATTTCAAAAACAAACGCAAGCACAATAACTATTTTCTTTGTTCTTGGAATATGATGTTTTTTTTGATTCCGAAAATTAATGAGAATTTGAAAATGTTTACTAAATGTCACTCGGGCGGGATTTTTAATTCTGCCTGCTCGCCAGCGCTCTCAATCAATCACCCACTTGATAATGGAGTGAGTAATTCAATATAAAAACCAATCTATTTTTCGGCCAAAATACATACAAAGTGTGACCGTCTCGTTATGGACTGATTTCACAGCAATTAGGCTAGACCAAACATTAGCCCCCCGCCCACCCCACCCCCTGGCAAACCCTTCCCTCTGAAAAGCAAACAATTGGCTGAAATAACGGGACAACGTGACTAATACAGGGTCGTCACGAGTGTGCGGCTCTATGCCCAAACCCGGCTGTCCACTCAGATGCCTCAATGTCACTGATAGCCGGAAGGTGGCCAGTCAAGGTGTGACACACACAGGGCTATTGGCCGCATGTCAGCTATCATGTTCGCTGTGCTCTCAGTGTCCAATCACACGCCACGTTTCACTCCACATGACACACATCTCATCATTGTCCACCAAACCCAAACTACAATGCTTCTGATACACATATCGAGTGTTAGATGATACATGTATCTATAATCCATCCATCCATCCATCCATCCAGTACCTGGTGGTGGTCATCCTATTACAGTAAAAACACTGTTTCACCACAGGGATACATGTTTGTCTCCCTACACTCAGCTCAGTGGCTGTCCCATCCGACCCAAAGTGCCTTTCCGAGCTGGATGCGTGAGCGTGGCGGGTGATGGCCACAGAGCGTGGGAGCTGCCTCTGGGGGACGCTTTGCGCTTGTCAGCGACCTCGGCCAGCTAACCGGGAAGTGCTGAAAGAGGTCTGAGTGTCTGCGAAGCCAGACTCCCTGGACAGCATCACAGGACCTGCGAGGCAACACGAACGTGGGAGGGTGGGCTGGTGTCTCGACTCAGGTGCCAAGTGTTCTCTCTGCCCCGCGCGGGCCGCATGCGGGGGTGTCTCCCCTCCTCTTTCAAAGGGGAACTATTGAGCTGGAACCCTGATTCTGAGAAGCGGCAGTAGCTAGCTGCCTGCAGAGGTTGCCCGTTTCATCTGGGTGTAATTAGCAGTGCTCACAGGTCCATGTGGGCCCCCCGGGGAGGCCCCTAGCTGCCGGCATCATCCCGATGGGATCTCTGCTGCTGACTTTGATCATGTGACAGTGTCTGGTGTGACCCGGTTCTCGCCGCGCATCCCGGCTGCCACACGGACGCCCCGTCTAAGGCCCCTTGTCCTCACCGGGCAGCACGTCAGGATGTGTCTGCTGCTCAGCCATTCAGATGCAGATGAATAATTAAAAGGGTCTCCGTGCTCGTCTCTCTGTTCCTGCTTCCCTCCTGGCTGGATATTCATGTTCACAGGTACTGGCGTTGGCTCTGCTCTTTTCTTCATTTTTTTTTTGTTGTTAAATCTCCCCTGCTGCTCTGATCTAGGTGTGGTGTCAGGTTTTATTTATGGCTGGTCTCTAAGTACCACGGAGCGGCCTGTCCTCTGGAATGCATGAGAGCAGCTGTTGGATCACTTACTTTTAACAGCAAACTAAAATGTACATCCACCTTCCATGGATTCTGGTCAGCAGCAGAGATTTTGACTCCCTCACATATAAAATACAAACAGCTGTTGCGTACCTTCTAGAGATGTACCAAACCCCAAAAGCTGTTTTCGAGTCCGAGTGGTAATATGGAATGCTTTGCTTGTGCAAACCAGAATATGTTCCTCCAGATAAACTGAGCTTAATTGAATGATAAAATTCTGAGAACAATTAACTTGAACAATTGTAGTCAGCAATTCATTTTTCCATCTGCAAAGGAATAAACTGAAAAATTATATTTTCGGTTGATCTTGATAACCTACAGCACCAATAACTGTGGCAGATAAGAACTGTTTACCGTGAAAAGGTCAGTTCTGGAGTCGATTAGAAGTGTAAGTCTGACCATCCTCTGGGCGGATTGCTTGTAGTTAGGGTATAGGGTAGATATAGGTACAGATTGCTAGATGTGCACTCCATGGAAGAGTAAGAAGTATCGTCAGCTGGTTCAGTACTCCATGGAAAGGTAGGAAGTACCGTCAGCTGGTTCAGCACTCCAAGGAAGAGTAAGACGTATCATCATTTGGTTCAGTACTCCATGGAAGAGTAAGAAGTATCGCCAGCTGGTTCAGTACTCCATGGAAGAGTAAGAAGTATCGCCAGCTGGTTCAGTACTCCATGGAAGAGTAAGAAGTATCATCAGCTGGTTCAGTACTCCATGGAAAAATAAGAAGTATCGTCAGCTGGTTCAGGTGCTAGCTTAGGTTTACGTTGTTTGTAATCTTACCCTTTTTATGCTCTGTATGCTATATTCAGTCTTGCCATGCATTAAAATGATGGGCTAATACATTCTCTGTAACTTAAACACTCAAAGGATTCACATAGTCCTTTCTTGTCATTTGTACAAGTACAATGAAATACTTGCTTGCGTAACTCCCTGCAGACTTAAACAACATATAATGACAATAAACAGCCTATATAAATAACAAAATAGTGAGGACAAATAAAATACAAATGCATAAAAGATATACAGTATATGGTAACCCTTTACTTAAAGTTGTCATTTATGATGCACTATGAATAACTACATAATGCATTATAATGGTCAGTATAATAATTAATAAAGCATTACAGCATCTTCTATTGATAGTCATAAGGCATTATAGTGTTGATTATAATACTTCATAAGCTTCAGTGAAGCTCTCATCTATAAGGCACTATAGATCCCTTCATAATGCATTATAAAGGCCAGTATAAGCAATAAGGATGCTTTGTACTGCATTATGAAGGTATCTATAGTGCATTATAGATGAGAGTTTCATAAAGCATTCATAATGCATAATAAACATGGAGATAATGTGCTATGCTGTTTTATAAATATTTATAGCCATGTTTATAATGCTTTATGAATGCATTATAATAGTAATAGATACTTTATTGATCCCTGTGGGGAAACTCTCTTTATACCTCCCCCAACTTGCTCTGTGGAGGTGAGAGCAAGCTGGCTGTGAAGGGCAGCCACCCTTAGCAGCCAGGGAGCTGGGGATTAAGGGCCTTGCTCAGAGACCCACAGATGGGCTAAGGCTGGGCTCGAACTGTCGACCACCAGGTCACAGGCAAAAAGCCCAACAAGCCACACGCTGCCCCCCTGCTGCATCTTTTCATAGATTCTTATAGACGGGACATTCATAGAAAATATAACCAATACAATCTATATGTAACACACAATGACATGTGTACTTTGCATTGTCAGTGAGTGTGTAGCATAGCTGGTACATTTGGATGTTCTTGAAAAGGGGTCAAAGATCCTCTGATCTCCAGCATGCTTCCGTGAGGCCTGTTGTTCTGTCCATTACGGTGGAGAAGCTGTTTTCTGAGTTCATCACTTCTCTTTGATATTCGGCTGACCGTCTGGTCGTGCACGCCCACTCGCACCCTCACACGCACCGCCATCCCCCTCTCCAGGATGCACGGCAGCTGCCGTTCTTGGGGCACGCAGCCTGTGAAGTTTTCCATAGCCGTTGTGGAGATAAGGAAACTGTTTATTTTCACAGCTCTGTGCTTAAAATATGCACACGACTCCAGAGGCTAAGACAGATCAAAGATATCGGCTACGGGGTACAAGCATTTAAGAAAAAAAGGGGGCTATAATTAAAAATCTGTCATTGACAGAAATTAATGAGCTGCTCCAGATGAATTACAGGTGAGGTTCTCTTAGCGTCCTGATGGAGTGAGGCCTGTAGCTTCGGTGTGGATCCTAGAGGTGGACGTGCCTTTGGAAGGTGATGTAGAGGTGACAGGCTGGGGGAGTAACAGTGGCCAGGACACGTAGCCGCACCAAGATTGATCTGGGATCAAACACAGGTGGGAGACAGAGGCAAAAGAGACATGGCAGATCAGTGTAAACAGAGCAGGAATATTTATCACAGGGCCCAGACAAAAAGGCTTTTTGTGAGACAAGGGGGCCTCAAAGGTGTCAGGAGTTAACCCCAGCGTGTGCTCTCTGCGGCCCTGCCCCGGCCTGCCCCGGCCTGCCTCCACGCCTCCTGCTTGCCCCCCATCGCTCCCAGGCCGGCTGACAAACAGACACCGGGGTGCTGACGGATGGCAGGGTTGTGACCGCTTGTACCCGCCGTGAACCGTGTGGCACCAGAACCCTCAGGTCGACTGCAGGCCAATCACAAGCAGCGCTAGTGCAACAGGCCACAGGCTTCCAGAAGTTTCCGCAAAGGGTGTGCATGTCCACGTTCAAAAATATCTCTGCACACGTGCATCTGTATGACTATTTGTGTTTATGTGCAGGCACATTCATGTATATCTGTGTATGTGCATGATTGTGATATACATGCGTGTGTGTTCAGACTGCGACGTCTACATGCCCATACCTGATGTCTCTGCACACGCATTCCCTTCACTTGCCCTATGCCCTAGGCTTGACATGCCATCATTAAATTACTCTCCGTCACAACTCTGTCATATCAGCGGGAGCACGCTAGTCAATTAGGATCACGGGGCCCGAACTGTTTGCACGAGCACGGCATCGGACCAAGCGGCTTTCCTGAGTAACATTCAGAGGAGCCGCGATAACTCACAAGACCCCAGATGACCGGATCACGTTCGCATGCTTGCTGAGAGACATTGTGCAGGTCTCTCTGGCATATCTACATCCCCATCTTGTTAAAAATATGAAGAAAAAAAAAAAAACGCCGCTTATTTGACGATTGCTGTAGATACCGCATGTTCCAAAACACAACATCTGTTTCAACTGACATTGGAACGGGGAGCGATAAGGCTCAGTGATATTAAATTGGTGCGTGATACCGTATAAATTCCCTTTTAATTCATTTGGCTACTTAGGACGGTGATTTATCAATGTTTCGATCTTCAAATAAATAACGGGGGGAAAAAAAACAAATAAGAGACTCAGAACTATGTTACTTGGAACGTTGCGATATCTAAGATCAGACTGATTTTCTTTTTGGCTCCAGGAACATATCAGCAGCCGATCTGCTTATAACAACATGGTTGTAGATAATAGTTAAAATGTACCCAGTCACATCGCTCTGTCTTATTTGTTTGTACTTAAGGTCCACATTTAGTTCTGTGTGAATGCTGTCAATCTGATGAATTATTTACCTCTGTCTCTGGGCCCCGTTTTAACGCCCATCTCAAACCAGGAAGAGTGAGAGCATAGAGCCATCGGGTCAAGCAAGGACGATGTAGCCAAACAAGAGCTTAATGGCAGGCAGCCGGCAGGTCAATGCAAGCTTTGTATAAATATTTTGTTTATATTAAAATATGCAGCCCCTTAATTAATAGAACATATGGAGCAATCACATTCTTTGGAAGATGCACATAGAATTCCTTTAAAAGCATATAGGGATCTTAACCCTTTTTACTGTCTCCTCCAATAAACTCCAGCGTGAAAGATGAACTACCGCAATTCTCCATTAAAGCTAAATTAGTTTACGAAACACAATGGAAATTGGATTAGCTTATGGGGTGTGTCAATGCAAACCTAATAAGATCCTGCAAACGTGAATTCCAGAAAGTCCAGAATGAACAGTGTCAACATTCAATGGGGGGGGGGGGTTGTTTCTGATTGGTGGAAATCCGAAAGGCACGGCCAGCCTGCTCATCCAAAAGTATGATGGATGAGTGTGATGGGGTCAAACAATAGCAATGGGGGAGGTACAATCAGAGTTTGAAGGGCTTCTGTAGGCTGCAGCATCCACTCTGGTGGGCAAGTGAGTGCCGCGTTGATGCTTCAACTCTTTAAGAGTTTCTGGGTGCGAAACAGACTCATATTGTTCAGTTTTACGTATGTGCTACACTGAAGTCCATAATGCTTCATTGAGAAACCCTAACATCATACTTAATGTCTCTTTGAATGTGCAACAGATATAAGATTTTTTTTAGTTGAGTAGGTTGTGTTTCAGCCAGTTGCTACTTCTATCCTGGTGAACACAGATCACATGGTCCCAGGCTCTGCTCCTTCATGAGCGCTGCTCTATAGAATGCTTTCACATTTAAACAGACTGCTATTATTTTGGGAGAAATAGCTCCTTTGAACTTGAAACAGGAGAGCATCTGTGCTCAATGGAGTCAGCAGTCTTCTTATTAAGAGCTTTTTTCCACGCTGTCAAAAACTTTTAGCTGTAAAAAGTTCTGTTAAAATGTGCTTTACGCATCTACAGCATAATTTGCCAAGAATATTCAGGAACAGCGGGCTCCTGATGACTGAATCTGCAACCATTCAGCTCCACAATATTGTTTCAAGCGAGCTATACTGTTATCTGTGTGTATGCGTATGTCATCTGTGTATACTGGGATTCGCTCTGTCACTCATCAGCCATAAGGAACCGCAGAACAGGATGGCCTATTACTTGGGCCATAACTAAGGAAATCAATAAGAAACAGAAAAAAGCTAAATATCCTTAGAAGATCAGAGTAGAGATGGCCTCAGAATCATCTTCTTTACAGCCATGCTTTCATAGCCAGTGGCAGCACCTGAGTGGATGGTCAGGTGAATTTGCCTGATGAGAGCATAGAAAATGGAAGCATAGAATTGCCCAAAATGTCTTGATATGCATATTGAGGCCCATAGAGACATGGTTGGGTGAGTTTCGTTTGGAAGAACTTGACTGGCCCACAGAGACCTGACCTCCACCCCATTGAACACCTTTGGGATGAACTACAATGGAGACTGAGAGCCAGGCCTTCATGTCCAACATCAGTGCCTGACCTCACTAATACTCTTCTGGATGAATGGACAAAAGTTCCCATAAACACTCCAAAACCTTGTGGACAGCCTTCACAGAAGAGTAGCAGCAGTTATGGCTGCAAAGGGGGACCAACAACTCCATACTGATGATGGATCAAGAATGGGATGTCATCAAAGTTCCTGTAGGTGTAGCTCTCTCTCATATATATATTTCTACAATATAAATATGAAACTGTTCACATTCGTTTTTTTTCTTTCTCAGAAATGCACCTCAGGACACTCAGGACATTTTGAAATTAACTGCTTCCTTTACTGACCTCCATCGATCTTGTATCTCTGAGTTGTATCTGTCCAAGATCTCCATTCCGTCTCAATTAATCGTCATTGTCACTGTAAATAAAAGTATAGCAGTATATTTTCCCACGTGTATATGATATATATGCACATAAAATGTCAAGCATGAGCGTTATCATGAAGGTATCTGGCAGCAGATAATTTTCTGCCTGTTATGGGCAAATGAGCTTCCACTTTCTCCAGGTGTAACGGGATATTAGTGGTGATTTCTTCAACTGCTTCTGCATCTATGGACCTCAGACCAAAACTCCTAGCTTGAAACCTAATTCTTATTTCCAAGGGAAACTAAATCAGTAAAAGAACGTTTGTCCTTTGCTTGCTTCTTTCAGTAAAACATGAACTTTGAGTCCATTTCAAGGCAACGTGCTAGGAGAGTAAAACCCGATTCGAGTAAAGGTTACGGCCTTCTTAATTCATAACTTAATTTCTTCTCATCTGAAATTCCTACCGTCGTATGTGAACTCATTTCAGCACTCCCTTATCGCAGATAGCTCCGATTAGGAAACACCACCTTTTTCAACTGCTTTTACTTCAACAATTCATGGAGAGGAAAAGCTCATTAAATGAGATACAACGACCTACCTCAACTGGGTGATTGTAAAAAAAAAAATAAAAAACTACATTTAGCAACAACCTCATTGCTAAGAACTTTAGGAAGTGAAACAAAGCGGGCCACAAAAGCATGGCAATGAGCATCTCAGATGATTAGGACCACTCACTAATTAAGGCTGAACTCTTACCTACTCAAATTCAGAAGCAGTGACTAACAAATCCAGTGAATCTTACACTGAAAAAAGAAAATAATGAACAATGAATAATGAAAGGGCTGGTCAACAAGGTCGGTGATTGTCAGGTCTCTGTGTGTGAAATGCTAATCTTGTGAATATATCTCACACATATATATGTCATTATCTGGGGAAGGTGCCTAAGAACCCCCCCCCCCAGGGACGCATGTTCATATCAAAGGCCAGCACAGTCCGTATGGGTGTCCCCATTCCCAGCAACCCTCTTTGGATACGGAATCACTCTGGATGGGTTTTTTCTACAGAGCAAGTCAGCGCCTTCAGTTTGTTGTTTATTTGGCAAACGATCCTTTGAGGAAACAGAAACACTGCATATGCGCTTCCCAGCCCTCTTTAAAAATGTAAATGTTATTATGCTCAACTGTCAGGAAGGCATGTTTACTGGAACGTTGAGTGTGAGGGCAGATTTTTGAGGTTGAAATTATGTGTGGAGTTTTCACCTTCCGGTTTCTTCTGTGGAGAAGTATAGCTGTGTAAGTATTCAGTGAGCTGTGTAGGGTTTAAGCATTTTGAAGGCAATGTAGCAATTAAATCATTTAAAACTGAAATAATTCTAACTTTAGGGAGAATATTTTCGTCGACATGCTGCGGCATCCAGCATTAGCGGTTCCTGAAGACTGCGAGCAGTAACATATACAGGAGTGATTCCTGGTCTTAGAGGAATGTCTTACGAGGAGAGTTTAGCTGAGCTGAATCTGTTTAGCCTCGAGCAAAGGAGACTAAGGGGGGACATGATCCAGGTATATAAGATTCTAACAGGTCTGGATGCTGTTCAGCCAAATGGCTATTTCAATATTAATTTAAATACTAGAACTCATGGCCATAGGTGGAAATTAGCGGGAGAACATTTTAAACTGAATTTGAGGAAGCACTTCTTTACACGGCGTGTAGTTAGAGTATGGAATAGTCTTCCTGCTAGTGTAGCGGAAGCTAAAATCCTGGGTTAAATCAGAGCTAGATAAGATTTTAACAACTCTGAGCTATTAGTTAAGTTCTCCCCAAATGAGCTTCATAGGCCGAATGGCCCCCTCTGGTTTGTAAATTTCTTATGTTCTAATGTCACCCACGGCTTTGAGGTCCAGTTAAAACACAAAGAGGAACCCCTGCCCGCTGTAGCCCATGGTTGTCTCCTAGCCTTTGTTTCCCTAATCCCTAAAAGAAGGCGTTAGTTGTAGGATCCAGTGGATAGACGATGGGTTTTTATTAGGTGATTGACAGCAGATGAAGTGTGTGAATCAAGGTCGGCAAGGAACGAGTCAACGAGCATCTTGATGAGTGCTGAGAGTCAGCTCTGCTCTTCATCTAAGGGGAGAGTCTGAGAAAAAATGGATAGATGGTAAAAGTGAGACGTGACCTCAGTCTGATTCCGGCATATTCTGGGATTCTCCGCTCAGCTACAACATCATTCCCACAGTCCCTAAATGCTGTCAATTAATTCCAACAGGCGCGGCTGCGCTACATTAGAGAGGCAACATTTCAAGGGGTGAGCTTACATGCCTTACGGGCAAACAAAATACATTTGGTCTTTCACCTTCACTTTGTACCTTTAACTCTGCACCAGTCATTTTAAAACATTTCTATTTTTTCACTTTTGCATATTTGATCGAGGTCTGTTTGAATTCACCAAACCCGTCTAGGAGATACAAAGAGGGTACAAACATCTTAATTTATTCAAAGGGTACTCTGTATATTGATGGCTGATTCTGGCTTTCCCTTAAGCTGATTATGAATCGCTTTTCACATTAATTTCTGCTGTTGATCTGCGCTGTTTCAGACATTCTGACGTAAAGCCTACTGACATTTTAAGCAACGTGAACATTGCATTCCAGAAAAAAAAACACCTGAACATTGTTCAAAATTGAAAAAGAAAGAATGAAAGAAACAAAGAAAAGAATGTAAGAAGGCTGTTTGTTTTCATAAATCTTAAAGATTACCATTACCAGGTCCTGGTGATTAGAAGCCAAACTGGGCTGCAGTTGCAGTAATTAGAAAGAAAGTTGCCTCACCTTTCACCCTAGGTGGACAGACAGGTGTTAATTTAAAGGTATTCTAAAATCTGTAGGCAGCCCTGCATTAGCAAAATTAGCAGTTTTAATCATATTTTGAAAGTAGCAACCCACTGAATAAGCCCCGTTTCCTGCTGTCTATCCGGCTCCCAACAAAGTGCAAAACAGCATCTCAGTGCATGCACACAGAATGCATGTACACATAATCCCAAATACTGAAATTACATCTGTTTTTGTTGATAGAATTTGTCAAAACTGTAGCCCCTGACTGACTGAAAGGCCAAACTTTAAACTAAATAAATTTTGTGTCAGTATTTTTTTGTGTCGGTATTTGTGTCAAATGCAACAACACAGTTTTTTAAACGCCCCGTCATGAGTGCCGGCTGTTGGACCACATCATCAGACGGAGGCCCTGTTTAAGCACACTCACTCAAATAGCCGAAACCAGTGTCTACATTAATTATAGCTGTGCACCAATCACGCTTCACGCTTGCAGGGCTGAATTTCGGCACTCTCCAGTGACGGGGCTGCATCCTCCTGCAAATCCCACGTCGCTTCATTGTTACACCTCGCCCTAGGATGTTTTCCACTCTGTAATCTCCTATGAAAGGCTTCATGTCTCCATGAATCGTAAATATGTTTGATTGCAATAATCAAATCTGAGAATAAAAGACAATTATTATCCATTGTTGAGTAGTTCAGCGCATTGTTGTGTAGTTCAGTACTACTACTACTACTACTATAATAATAATAATAATAATAATAATAATAATAATAATAATAATAATAATAATAAGCACTTCGTGCTTTGGACCCTTAATAACACCACCACCCAGGACCTTGGTGCCATATATTCTCAGAAGCTTGTTGCCCCCACTAGCTTTCAAAAAACAAATTAAAGCAGAATTTCCACCCACTCTTCCAGGGGGGAACCAACAAACTATGATTCAGAGAGTATGCTTCCCCAGACTCACGTGAGAAAATGATATTGATACGATGATTTGTGTACATCATGAGAAATTTCAAGGGTGTGTGTTAATGTAACAGATTTGTTATTAAAAGATAAGATACCGGTGTTGATTTTGCAGATGGGTACATCATAGAAGCTCACCACAACTAGATCTGCATGTTGCTGTGTCTATACCAATGAGTTATGCTACCATCAAGACATTATATTATACTGATATTGCATCATACTAGAAGATTTTAAAATGAGGAACACTTAGGCATATGAAACAAGAACCACTCAATGCTTTAAAGAAAAAAGGTATATAAATATAAAATAAATGACATTCACAGTTTTTTTTTTATAAATTGCAAGGCGAAGGTGTAATTATGTGCTGCAACATCCATGAAGAATTCATTAAAATGGCTGGTGAAACAAGTGTTGATTTTCCGTGATGGGAGGGAAGGTGACAATAACCGCCTGAGAGGATTCTATGACGAAAAAAAAGAAAGAAGAAAAAAGAAGCAAGTGCGGATATAAGACGGCATTTCGCTATAAGACGCGCTGCCTGGCTGCCTCTGAAGGATGAGTGAGACGTATGGCGGGTGAGGGCATATTAACCTGCTGCTGCGTTGTCGGATTTGCATTCGTCTCTCCCCGGTTCACAGACAGGTCTTTCTAGACGGGACCGGTGTGGCTGAAGCCTGTCGGCTGTCGCCGGCTGTACGTGGATATACTCCTAATGAGAATCGCCCCTCGTAGAATGTGTCACCGCCCAGACGCGGATGCGCACTGATGTACAATACGCCCGACTGGCGAGGAGTCACGGCAGCGACTGCTGCGGTGATTAGGATGAGTGGCTGCTTACCTGCGCTAAAAATAATGCTTTCATATTTAAAATAAAACTATAGTCAAATAACGGCAATTATTATTATTATTATTATTATTATTATTATTGAAATATAGCAATCGAGTAAAATCCAATCGAGTACTTATTTAGGATCTCAATCTGACCTAATTAGGCTATCAGCTGTAACTAAATCTGCCTTTGCAGGGACTCTTGCATCGAACACCCTTGCCGTATATAACAATCAGCAAGCTCTATCTGGCTTGTGAAAGAAGATGATTCTTGCAGGAGAATTGCATTGTTTTGTTCTGCACTGTTACAGTCCCTGTGTGCGTCTGCAGTTGTGTCTAAACTCCAATACCCACTGCGCAATATTTTATCCCGTATTTTGGTGAAGAATCGTCCAGTCCACTTTTCCACTGTTGCGCGGTACAAACTGCCAGGAAATATGTATTTTGTTAAGTTATTGTCACATTCTGGCTGGCATCTATTATGTTTCCTATACGAGTTTGGGCCTGGTCAGTGTGTATATGTGTGTTTACATTTGCTCGTCCCCTTTAAGCATTAGAAAGTACTTGGCACCTCAAACCTTCGACTCAGGCTACCAAACTGACCCTTCACATCATGCAGACATCCCACGTCTGTGACATATCTTCTCTTTTGTCCTCCTCCTGTATTACGGTGCACTGTGACCACACAACGCTGCGCAAGTCGTCAACTTAGTGACCTCATCGACTGCGACCTGTCATTGGTAATATAATGACCTAATCATTTTTACGGAAAAGGGGACCATTTGTATTAATGAATCTCTGAGAGGTAGCTGAGACCTAACCACGCAGCGTACAGAGTCTTCCAAAGATGTGCAGAAAGTACTGCTCTCTCTCTGTCTCTCTCTCCTTGCTATCATGGAGACAGAGCCATTGAGCTCTAGCATCCTTCAAGGTGTATGAGCAGGAGCCCTCTGATTGGTCAGACATTACATCAGGATGCTGTAATCGCACTCAGCGGACAGGCAAGCATGCCTGACAGGCTGAGCCTTAATGGGGAGCTGTGGGGATGATTGGTTGGGGGCATCTACAGACACCCCTCCCCACAGACACAGACACACACACACAGACGCACAGAAACACACACACACATACACACCATATCTGTAATATGTCACATTGTGTGAATTCAATAGCTGTCTGAACTTGTCTAATTCCATGTGTACATTTTATATGGGAAATTGCTTTTGAAAAATATATGTGCATCTTTAAAGAAATCTTACTTAAATGTGAAGGCTAAATTTAATGTGCACATAGCATTTAATGTGCCCTTGTCTTTAAAACAAACACATAAGCCTGTGTTCTTCAAATGCTTTTACACACGTATCTTGCACCCCAATATACTGATACATTAATAATAAAAAATCTCAATGTAAAAATTATTACAATTTCAATTTCAGCTTGCAAGGGAGATAAATGGAAGGAACATAAAAATGTTTGAAAAGGAAAATCTTCTCCTGCAGAACTACTGTGTACACCCTTAGGATATACTGAAAAATACACTTGATTCTCCAAATTAGTTCACAATTGAGCCTGGAATTTCAGGATGCCTCGGTCCCAACTGCATTGAAAATCAAGTAATTAGTTCCAAGCATCACTGTGTATGAAATTAGCTGTAGAGAACATTCTGATTGAAAGCATGAGTGAGAGGAATGACTTTTCTGTCTGAGGACCAATGGCAAAATTAACCATAACTGGACTGCAAAAAATAGCCTCAAGAAAAAAAATTGAAATGGAAGCCAAAATAATCACACACCAAGAAGAAAATGACATTAAGTGACATTTGAACGCACAAAATCATCAATGATAATATAAAAGTTATCTCGAGGCACAAAATTTCTGAACTAGGCCTTCACTTGGCAATGTTTATTTATTTATTTTTAATTCTTATTATTACATTAAGTTGAAATATGCAATTCCACATTAGTCAAATGAACAAAAATGAGTCATGCACTGTGACATTTTCCACATAACTTAGATCAACATAAAGAATTTCTATCTTAATAATCACACCACTCTAGAATTTAACATATGAATATAAGCAGAACATATCTCTGCTGTAATTATCTGTATTATTATATGGTTACACCTTACTTGACACTAAAAGTGTATTCATAACAAAATATTACACTTTATAATCAGTCGTGACAGCTTATGACAGCAGTTGTAAGAATCACAACAGATAGTAAGTGCTTTGATTGTAGTGCCTTTGACAGCTGTTGCCTCAGCTATGACTTTTTGCGATATGCTATTCTATTTGTGACATAAATGTTTATGACACTATAATGAAAGCATTATGATGAGGCGGTCAAGTGCAGTGTTACCAACTGATGTACTAACAGATTTTAAAGTGCAAAAGAGCACTTTAACTGACCAATCCCTCTTTTAGGACCAATACACAGTGCTACACACAGACACACACACACACACACACACACACACACAAACATGCACACACACACACACACACGCACATGTTTGTAATTATATATTTATGGTGACTCTCCATTCATTTCTATGGGGAAAATTCTAATCCCAACACGATGACCTTAACCCCTACCCAGCTGTAACCTTAACTATAAGTAACCAAACAAAATACGAGACTTTTAGCATTTTTACTTTTTTATTGCATTCACAATTCTTTGTGGGGACCTGAAAAATGGTCCCCACAACGTCAAAATAACAGTTTTTTTTTACATTATAGGGAACATTTGGTCCCCACAATGTAATATAAACATAACCCACACGCACACACACACACACACACACACGGTGTACACAGGGTGGAGCTGAATGCTGAGATGCTAAGATGCTGAGCCATGGGTTTGATTAAGCAGTTATAATTTCACACATTAGCATTTTACCTGAATTAATGTCCCAGCGCAGGCTTCCTGAGACCCTGCACCATCAAACAGGCACGTCAGAAGGTATTCAGTTTTACACCAACTCAAAAAGAGCCTTCCGCCTCTCTTCCTATGTGTTTATCCAAAGCTTTCATGGGGTAGCTTCTGTTCGCCCATCGCTTTGCTCAAACACATTCCTCCTCTGTGCTTGATTGCGGTGTAACTTGTCATATCATCAAAAACATCATACAGATAACTGCAGGGCAGCCAAAGGAGGTAGGTGACACAGCCTAACGCTCATAGGGATGGACGGGGAACAGGCTGGTGCATAAATAAATAAAAACATCGAGGTGCTGATCTACCAGCGACTGCTTTATTGGGGGGGGGGGGGGGGTAAATAGACCGTACCAATATTTACAGAGTATAAAGGGTTATGAAAGCGAAGTGGAACAAATCAAATCAAAATGATCCACATCACACTTGACTGTGCCTCCAGAGACGCCCAGAGAATACCAAGTCACCAAAAGTAAAATTTCACGCTGATCTGCATATTTAAAGACAGCACCTGAATGGAAACAGCACCATGTCTTGAACATGGCTTGGATTCTCACGTCAAGGATCCCCCGGGTCCCACCACTCTGACCAGGATAAATGCGGCAGGTGCTGCATGGTCGGCAGCTGTGATGTATCGACCAAATTATCAATTTTATACAGTTAAAATGAACGAACGATGTCAGTGAGATCAGTGTGCTGGACTGATTTTTCGACAGGAGCTCAGATCGATACCACTTCTCAGTGCCTGCGGCTTTTGCCGGAGTGACTAAACATGTTCACCCTGCACTCCCACCTAAATTTACAGGACCATTGGCAGGAATGATGCAACAAGTGGAGTTAGGATGGCAAGAGAGAAACACAACAGTGCCGGGTAACATGAGGCATATGGTCAGCTCCAGAATTACCTGCAGCCTTCATAAATATGTCTGTGCAAAACAAACAGCACATGCAATAATGCAAATGTTCTGCTCAAATGTTGGAGAAGGCCAAGGACTTTTTTTTTTTAACACAGGACCTTTTCAAACAGAAAAATAATTTATGTAGTGGTACCTTTTTTTCCCCACAAAATATTGTGGAATTATGAGCACCCCTGAAAAATGTGTAAAATAATGCCAAAGTGGCCTTGCTTATGAAATTATTTTTTTTAATTGGTCTCCAGGAACTGTACTGCTGCCTTTCACTAGTTTCTGTGTCCCTGCGGTATAAATATGAGGTTGCACGCTTGTGAACTCCCTTTGTCATCCATTACCATGGGGAAAAGCAAAGAGCCCTCAGCTGAAAAGAGACACTTGTTGACCTACACAGCAACAGATATATAAAAGAACACATTGACAGCTGAAGATACCAATGAGTGCTGCCAAGGAGATAATCAAGAATGTTTCACAACAGACGCAGCTTGCCAAGCAGAGAATGCATATTGCCCCCGCACACACTTAGAAGGATGGTAAGGAAAGCGATGAAGAATCCAAGGATCGGTTTCTGGACTGCACAGTTTAGTAGAGTCTTGGGGTTATCAAGTTTCAAAATCACATTTATTTATTCAGCAGATGCTCCCCTCCCCACAAGGCAACACACAAGTGCGGATCAGGCAGCATCTCCTGAGCCATTGGGGCATAACTCAATGGCCCACAGGTGCTAGGATTGTTCTGCTTTGAACCCATGACCTTCTGGACATAAGTGCAGATGCTTAACCCACTGACCTATACACAATACACCTATACTGATACACCACCCCATGTCAAAAAGCTATTTGGAAGGGTTACAACATGGGACCTACAGTTGGAAATGTGTGTTATACTCATTTGAACTCTTTGGCCGTGCAAATGCCTGGCATTTTGGCATCTAAAGAGCTTACAAAGAAGAGCCCCTGATTCCCAAAGACAAACATAGTGGTGGGTCATTGATGCTTGAGCTGGTTTTGTTGATAGTGGTCTAGAGGCTCTTGTTAAGACCAATT